TTTAAAAAAAAAGAAGAGAATGACTCCAAAATATCTACAAGCCCCAAAGAAAAACATAGCTTGGACACAAATTTAACTAAAATTCCTGGAAGAAATGAAGCAAGAGTTAAAGTTAAAAATCATTTTATCAATGAAATGAGAGCACTAGAGAAAAAAATGAAAAAGAAATGAAATCTATGAAAGAAAGAATTAGAAACAGAATTAATAGCTTGGCACAACAGGTACAACCCTGCCCAAACAGCAAATTCCCTTAAAGTTTGAATGGACTAAATTGAAGGCAGTGACTTAATGACACAACAAGAAATATTAAAACAAAGTCAAAAGACTGAAAAAATAGAAGAAAATTTATTTCAAATCAAAAGTAACTGACTTAGAAAACAGATCAAAGGGAAAAAATTTTAATAATCATTGGACTACCTGAAAGTCATTACCAAAAAAAAAGGATCTAGACAGTATACTTTAATAACTATTAAAAGAAAACTGACCAAAGCTATTAAAACCACAAAGAAAATTGGAAATAAAAGGAATCTAATTGTTTCCTGAAGGAAACCTCATAATGAAAACTTTTAGGAACATTATAGCCAAAATTCAGAGCCTCCAGATTAAGAAAAAAATACTGCAAGCAATCAGAAAGAAAAGATTCAAGGGGCAGCTAGGTGGCGCAGTGGATAGAGCTCTGGCCTTGGAGTCAGGAGTACCTGAGTTCAAAACCAGCCTCAGATGCTTGACACTTACTAGCTGTGTGACCCTGGGCAAGTCACTTAACCCCAATTGCCTCACCAAAAAGCAAAAACAAAAAAAAAAAATCAAAAAAGAAAAGATTCAAGTACCATGCAGCCACAGTCAAGATCACACACTACTTGGTGGCCTCCACTATGAAGGAGCAGAGGACTTTGATATTCCAGAAGGCAAAGGATATAGGCTACAGTCAAGAATAACAGCAAAACCAAATATAATCCTTGAGTGGAGGCAGAAACGGACCTTTAATGAAACAGAGAACTTCCAAGCACTCCTGATGGAAAGACCAGCGCTGAGCAGAAACTCTGAAGTTCAAACACAGGAGTTAAGAGAAAGATAAAAAGGTAAACATAAACAAATACAGGGTAACTAAACAGGGATAAACTGTTTACATTTTAATATAAGGAATGATGTATGTGTATGCATCCCTTCTGAGCCCTATCATCTTCAAGAGTCACAGAGGGAGTCTAATTAGAGGGAAGGTTTGGGAGTGGTTATGTTCTATCTTGAAGATTTTAAAAGAAGAAAGGAAAAAGAGAGGAAGAAGATTATATGGGGGTGGAGGGAAGGGAAAGGAAGGTTAGTGAAAATGAGTAATCAGGATTCAAAAGTAGAAGTCTACAGGGAGGAAGGGGTAGGGGGGAATGGCTGATAGCTGAACCTTACTGTCATCTAAACTAGTCAAAGGAAAGAAGAGAATACACTCACATATACACATAGCTGGGTACAGAAATACATTTCACTCAACAGGGAAATAGGAGGGCACAGAGAGAAGGGGAAAGTAGGAGAATTAAAGGGAGGATAGATTAAGGGACGGACTGTTGTTGTTTGTTCTTCATTTTCAAGGAGGACCAATGACATCACGGGTGACATCTTAACTTGTGTGAACTGGACTGAAGTGAGGCAGAGCTGCTCGATATCGTAAGCCTCACACTCTCCTCCTGAGTCACTGAAGTCCAGCGGCAGGACAAAAGTCAAGATGACTGGCAATGGCCCAGGGTGCAGTGGATGACCTTGGCAACTCCGAAGCCTGACCAAGCTCTAAGCGCCTGCTATAGCCGCCTTTATGGCCGTTGGAACAAACTGTTCTCATCTACCCATTCCTCCAGAGAAAGTCCTCACATGCTTGGGGTAGATATCCCCCTCACTCACTGACAGGTTTGAGGCCTGTAGTTTACCCTCAACCTGGTTCAGCCCATCTGCTGAGACAGTTTGACTGGGGTATGACCACTGCGCATGCTACAGCTTCTTGGAACCCAAGGGGAGAGTGGGGTGAATCATTTAGCAAAACAAATTCTAAAGATGCACATGGTGGGAATTTGCACACTAGGGTTCTCCCCACTAATCAAATCACAGGTCAGATCCAGAGTGGTGGATTGTCCTGTCCAAGGTCACAGGGCATGTTGGTAGCAGAGGTAGGGATGAGAATTCCCCACGCCTCATATAAAGCTCACAAGACACTGTTCCCTGGCTTGGTCTGGCCTGTCTTGTGCCACCATGGTTTTCTTCCTCATGATTCATTTTCAGAATCTCCTGCCTCTCCCTCTCTTGCTTCTGGGCTTCTTGTATGTATCCTCCAAGACAGCAAATCCAGAAAGGAAGCCTAAATCTGTCCTACCTCCCAGCCCTTCTCCACACTGGGGATGCCAACGACCCTAACTAGCCACTCAGGTTGTCACCTGTGACTCTTGCCCTCCATGTCCAGTCAAACCCACTCTTACTGAAGGGCTGCTGAATGGAAATCACTTCGAACCAAGAAGAGAGGCACCCTGGTGGGCAGAGAGGAGCCATCGCTGCACCTGTAATCCAAAGAGCTGGGGCCTTGGGCAAAAGGCTCATTTAACCTCTCCCTCAGCCTCAGGCTTTTTTAATTTGTAAAGTAGAAATGATAATCTTTGTACTTCCTTCCTCACAGGGTTGTTATAAGGTTCAACAAGGCACTTAATAAGCACCTACCATGTGCCAGGCACTAGGCTACAAATTAAAACAAAAACCCAGCCCTGCCCTCAAGGAGCTCACAGTCTAATGGGGAAGAAAACCATGCAAACAACTAGGTAAGTACAAGATAGAAAGTAAATGGGAGGTAATCTCAGAGAAAAGGCCTTAACATGGGGGGAATGTGGAGGGACTTGGAAAAACCTCCTGCAAAAGGTGGGATCTGAGCTGAGTCTTAGAGGAAGCCAGAGAAGTCAGGAGATGGAGGAGAGCAGGTAGACCATTCCAGGCATGAGGGGCAGCCAGCAGGACAATGATGGAGTCAGCTGAGAGAATGTCCTAAGGATGAAGAACAGCTAGAAGGCTAGCATCACTGGAAGGGAGCAAAGGGTATAAAGACCAGAAAGCAGGAGAACACCAGATTGTGAAGGGTTTTAAAAGCCAAATAGATGTTTTTAAATTTGACCCTAAAGCTACTGGAGTTTACAAGTGGGGAGGAGACATGGTCAGAGCTGCATTTTAGGAAGATCAGTTTGGCAGTTGAGTGGAGGATAGACGGGAGTAGGGAGACACTTGAGGCAGGGAGACCACCCAGCAGGACACTGCAATAGGCCAGGTGTGAGGAGATGAGGGCCTGCACCAGAGGGGTGGCAGAGATCCTGGAAAGAAAGAGATGTATACAAGAGACGTTGGGAAGGTGGAAAGAACAAAATTGGGCAACAGATTGCGTATGTGAGATGAGTGAGTGAGAGTCCTCTAAAGTTGCGGGGAAGAGGGGCAGGGCTTGAGGGGAAAGATAACTGGTTGCTTTGGCTCTCTACCGGTCATCTAGTTTGAGATGTCCAAGAGGTAGCTGATGTAGTCAGTACACTGGAGATGAGGAGAGAGGTTGGGGCTGCATGAAAAGCACCTGCATAGAGATAACTGAACCCAAAGGAATGGATAAGATCACCAAGTGAGATTGTGTAGGAGAAGTGATGAGAGCTCAGGACAGACTCTTGGGAGACAACTACCATCAGTGTATGTGAACTGGAAGCTCAGGTAAGATAATGCATATAAAGTATTATATATAGCTAGTATTATTAGAGAAGTGTTCCTTACCCATTGAGACAAGAGATTCATAGTTGCCCCTCATCACATTCTTGTAAAGTTCCTTTTGCCACTCAGACAGGTTCCCCCACTCCTGTTCTGAGAAATGGACTGCAACATCATCAAATGTGACCGGTACCTGAAATCACAAAACATACCCTCAGCACTGTCCAGATATAGAGCTGGTAAGGATACGCCTGTTGGACAATTTTAGCACAAAGAATATGGCCCAGATCTGTCTGAGATTCACAATGTAAGCTAGGGAAAACCCCAATTTACAAGTAACATAGAGAATACATTTAGGGTGGGGACTGGCTGAATGGCTGCATAGCTTAATATCGCATCTTAATTCTGAAATTTTAAGAGTATGGGCATAAGGAAAAAGTCTTCAAATATCACATCTATATTGCTAATGACTCTTTTCTAGGGTAATCCTGAAGAGCTAGAACATGACTTATCCTGTTTCCAAGAGAAATCCTAAAAATCAGAAAATGAGTTGATTTTCATTCACTTCATGCTGATACTACATTCCACAATATTGTAAGACTGAAAAACAAATCCTAAGGAGAAAGAATCCATGCCAAAAGTTAATCACAGAGTGAACGATGCAAGCCAGAATACAACATCACAAGAAAGGAGGCTTCACCAAGGATTCTCCTTTTTTTGATCTGGATTTGTGATTTCACTGGTAAAAGGAACTCCAGGCGAGGAAACTCTCTACCAATATAGATCATCAACTGTTCTGCAGCTCATACTATTGCCTGGGAAACTGAAAGTAAGAGAGCTTAAGTGACACCTCATATGGGCCAAGGATGGGACTCAAACCCAGGCCCTGCTGACTCGGAGGCCAGTTCTCCATTCACTATGCCTTGTGATCTCTTTTGAAAAATCACTTCAAAGGTTCTTCTTACATGTGAGTCTGAGAAAGCAGGCCAGATCAGGCAAAATAATAACTGACAGCCCCTGGATATACATTTTAGAATTTTTTTTTAAATCTAAATGTGAATCTCAGAGTACTAATGAGTACTATGCTTTAAATCAAGCAAAGTTCCACTTTGATATAAAAAACTAGTCTGGTTTTTCCTTGTCTATACTCATGACCATAGTGGGTACACTGGAGACAGAACTAGAAAAACATAGGCTCTAGCATTTTTTTCTTGGAAGCACAGAATATTACTGTAAGAAGAGTCCTTAGAGGTCAACTGGTCCATTGTCCCAGGAAACATTTGTGCAAGATCTCTGATGGGTGCTTGGTTATGTAGCCTCTGCTCTTTAGAATTTAGCAATGGCAATGCAGGGCTCTAGTTTTTAGAAAGTTGAACCAAAATTTGCCTTCTTTATTTCAAGTCACATTTATAAATTAATATAACTTTCACCCATTGGTCTTATCTCTACCTTCTTAAACAACACAGAGTAAGTCTAATATAACTTTCACCCATTGGTCTTATCTCTACCTTCTTAAACAACACAGAGTAAGTCTATTCAAACGTTTGAAGCATGTCTTCCTTTCTCCAAGCTAAACATACCTAATATAGTATGGTTTCTTGACATCTAATTATCCTAGTTACTCTCCTCTGGACATCTCCTCATTAGTGTCCTTTTTTTTTTTTTCTGGTGAGGCAATTGAGGTTAAGTGACTTGCCCAGAGTCACACAGCTAGTGAGTGTTATGTGTCTGAGGCTGGATTTGAACTCAGGTCCTCCTGACTCCAGGGCCGCTACTCTATCTGCTGTGTCACCTAGCTGCCCCTAGTGTCCTTTTTAAAACAGGGATTCCAGAACAGAATCCAGTCCTGCAGATGAGCTCTGACTTGTACAGAAGAAAATAAGACTTACCCATCAATGAACCTTAATGATCATTAAGAGGTTGTGGGACTTAGCAGATTGAGGGCTAGCCTTAGATTGGAAACACCTGGGTTCAATTCCTGTCCTGAAGGAATACTACCCACGAAACTACAGGTAAATGCAAATCATTCTTTGTGCCCCAGACAATTTTCTAATACAAGAAATTACAGAACAGTTAGTGATCTATATCTACAGAAGGAATTTCCACATTGGGAGAGCATTAACTTTAAAAACAAATAGCAACTGTTTAACTCTGTTGGCTCCGTATTAATCTGGTGGTCAACTAAAGCCTTAATTTCATGAACTGCTGCTAAGCCAAGGATCCTCCATCCTGATTTTTGCAGATCTGATTTTTTTAAAAACAAAACCTAAGTCTAGGACTCTACACTTATCCCAAATAAAATTCATTTTGTTAGCTTTGGCTTGTGGAAATACTTGGAAACCTTGACTCTGTCATCTATCATACTGGCTATTCCTCCAAGTTTTATGTCGTGTGGAGTTTAGTTAAGTATGGCATCTATATCTTCATCCAAATCACTATAAAAACAATACTGAACAACAGTGTCCCATAACAATCCTCTTAGCCTCCCAGGCTAACATGAAGGCATAAATTAACATGTTTTGGGTATGGGTGTTCAATAAGCTATGAATCTTATTATCATTATTATTATTATTATTATCATCCAATCCCCATTTCACCATCTAATTAACAAAGATATTATGTAAGATTTCATAAAGTATTTTGTTGAAACCAAAATATACTATACCTTACAGTCTCTCTCTAATCTATTAACCTACTTTCCCTGCCTTAAAAGGAAATATGTTATTTGGCACATCTTAGAGACCTAATGCTGGATCCTGTTCACCATCTAATTCTTTTCCCTTTATTTAGCCACTATCAAATTATTTTTGATGATGACTGCTTTATTGTATAGTTTGAGATCTGGTATTGACAGACCCCCATCCTTCCTACTTTTTTTTTCATTATTTACCTTGAGGTTCTTGACCTTTTTTGTTCTGCCATATGAATTTCATTATTCTTTTTAATATATCTATAAAGTAACAATAATCCTTTTGTAGTTTGGCATGGCAGTGAAAAAGTAAATTAATTTAGTTAGCATTGTCATCTGTATTATATTGGTTTCATCTACCCATAAGCAATTAATATTCCTCCAAATATTTAGGTCTTTCTTTTTTTTATTCTAAAGAGTATTTTGTAAATGTATTCAAATAGTTCCTGTGTATATTTTGGCTAAGTAGAATCCCAGTATATTCTGTAGTTATTCTGAATGTTTCCCTTTACTTAGACTCCCCCTTGACCCATCCCTTTTCCTTTTCCTTGACTCAAACTCAACTGAAAGGATTTTTTAGTTCAGTTCATTTGTCGTCATCCTGCCATCCAGGAAAGGTTTACCTTGGGAACTTCTCCATTGCTGCCTGGGGGGAGTCGAAGAATCCAGAAATTCCTATTTTTCAGCAAGTTTTCCATATTCTCTAACCTTCTCTGCAATAAGCCATACTCCTGGAGCAAAGTCCCCAACACAACCCATTTGCTCTCTAGGTGGTTTGCAAATTCCACAGCTGTCTTTTCACAGTCAGTCAGCTTTTTCTCAGCTGTCCCCGTCCGCCCCTCCAGGGTGAGTAACCTCATGGCCTGGGCTTCCACTTTCCTCTCCACTGCTTGGATGGCAGCCCATATTGCCAAGCGGGATATTTCAGCAGTCTGAAGTGGAGTTTCCTTCTGAGAGGCAGCAGAGGTCTGAAAGGGTGTGTCCTTTTGGGAAACTGGGCTTTGCAGCAGGGTCTCCATCTCGGCTTCAGGAACAGTAGGGGAAAGGAGCAGGGTTTCTTTCTCGGGAATTTCAGGGGAATGGAGTGGGATTTCTTGATAATGAACAGGATGTGACCGAAATAAGATTTCTTGTTCAGAAGCAGCTAGGGGTGGACACTGAGTTTCGGGCTGGAGAACAGGAGGATGTTGGAAAGTGATCTCTTGCTCAGGAGACGCAAGAGTTGGGAGTGAAATTTCCCTTTGGGAAACAGGGTGGAGTCGGCCAGGAGTCACTTTCTCAGGAATGATTTGGGGTAGGGCTTCTTTCTGGGGAACGGCAGGGAACCGTGATGGAGTTTCTTTAGGGGAAAGAGAAGAGTATTGGGATGGAGTTTCTTGTAGGGGTCCAGCAGGTGAGTGAGGAAGAGTTTCTCGCTGAGGAACACTGGAGAATGCCAAAGGTGATGGTCGCCGTGTCTCCATGTCTAGTTCCTGAACCTGTTTGTAAGGAAAGAAATGAAAAGACAGGACTGAGACTTATATTCCCTATATGGCAATTAAGTTAGGTTCAAAAGATTATCAATCACATTATGGAGGGTAGGTTTGATAACACAAGGATAAGTTCTATAGACAAAAATTAAATCTTGTGGCTATTTTTATCATGAATGTGCTCCTAAGGAGGCCGTAACTAACAGCTTATAATGTCTCTGGGATTAATATAAATGATAAGGCTATAGTTATTAATTGTAACAGTAATATTATCTTGAATTTATATATAGCATCATACTTTTTCAAAGTGCTTTTACAGTTATGCTCTCACTTTATCCTTATAATAATCCTATGAGGTAGGCAAAGAGGGATTATAATCTATGTTTTAAAGATGAGGAAACTGAAGAACAAGAAACATGGCAAATCAGTGTTAGGGCTGGGACTTAGAAACCTGGTCTCCTAAATTCCAGGGCTATTTCTACTACATCCAGATACATATTAAAGTAATTATGGGACCTTCCTCCATCATTTCCTGATAGGATAAGGACTACATGTGTGATTTCCTTAGTATAGACAACTCACAGTGAGAAACTTCCTCTACCAGTGAAGGTTGGCATCTTTTCTATGACTGACAATCTTAAAGAGCTGCCCACAGCAGTAAGGAGCTCAGTGACTTGCCCAGAGTCACAGAGCCAGTGCCAGAGGCAAGACTTGAACCCACATCCTCTTGGCTCTAAGATGTGCTATTCACTATATGATGACACTATCAGTATTTCCTAGAAATGGCACAAAAATCTTTTTTTTTCCTTTGAAATATCCCAAAATAAAATGTTTAAGTTTCTAAGTAAATTTTTTTCACTAATGGTTGCCATGATGGATTTTGGATTTTAGAAGTTTTATATTTATCTAGTACCTTTCATAAAGATAATTCAAATTCACATAGCATGTTCACTCTCCTGAGAAAAATCCTGACATAGGTAGCACAAGGATCGTTACCCTCATTTTACAGATAAGGCAACTAGCCCAGAGCCATGGGACTAGTCAGTTCCAGAGCCTGGATTCAAACCTTCATCCCAGGTCTAACACACTTTCTGTTAATATCACACTACTTCCTACAGACTCACAGGGTTAGATGGGGGTCTTTGGGCATTCAGCCCAGCTTCCAGCTTCTAGGTAGGAAAGTCACTAACATATGCTCAAAAGATGAATATCGATTTCAAGATATCATAGTTCCTGGGAAGAGAGGACAGTCTCCAACTAAAAGCAACAGGATTCCTCCAGCTAGTGGATGATCTAAGCCTCTGACTGTGGCACACAATGATGCTGTAAATATCCCTGTGAAGGTTAGGAACACAGGGTCAAGGACTGGAATGGAAAAATTAAATAGCTCCATTCTGCTACTTGTTTCTAGCTTGTTTTTAAAAGATATGAAAGAACAAGGGCTAAAATGAAGTTTTCAGGATAATCTGTGAATATATTCATACTCAAGCTGTTCTGAATAATAACATGACTTTATCTAAATGGAAAGAAGCCTAGTATGTTTAGGGAAAGAAAGTTCATAATCTACAGGGTTACTAATGTTTCAACTACCGAGATAGTCAATCTAGCTCTAAAGCTCTCTTGCTACAATTTTTGTCTACTTCCTCTTACTTTGTCCTTCATGGACATGGAGAAAAGCTATCCACTATGTTTAATCAGTAAATATAAATCTTCATGATTACTGAATTCTTGAAATTTAGGTAAATAATCACAATTCCTTTAGACATTCATTAAAAGTTCCTCTGGACCATTTCTAAGTCTTCCACATCTATTCATTCATGCATTTATTCATTCTCTCTTTCAAATAAAAGTGAGCTGAGATAGTTTAGCTCATAATGTGACAGAGAACCTGGGGTTCGAATCCCTGTGGAAACTTTTAGAATATGTCTAGGAATCAGAAGACTTCTGTTCTACACAGGGCTCTAGTTCTAACATTTTGAAAATCTCTTAAGTATTCATTAAATCTCAATTAAGTCCTTAGCACAGAGCTAGGATCTGTGGGGACTACAAAGGAGACCCTGCCCTCAAGGAACTTACATTCTAGCACAAAAGAAAGCAAGGGTATGGTGTAGTAAAAAAAATCTTTGGTAGTGGTATCCAGGGGCCCAGATTTGAATCTCCCTTTTCCATTTACTACTTTTTGTGACCCTAGAAACTAAACAGATCACTTAGCCTTGCTGAACTTCAGTTTCTTCATCTGTTAGAAAAAAAAAAAAGAGGGAGTAGGATTAGATCATGTTTGAGGTCTCTTTCAGCTATTATGGGACTTGGCTCTTAAGACCCTGACTAATGGGAAGAACTTGACTTAAAATTATACCGTATCACCTCTAAAGAGGTGAGGGCAGAAGTTCAGTTTCGGTCCTTCTACAGAGCAGAAAATAAGACATAAGGCATGTGCTTAATTCTCAGTAAGCTCACAACATTTTCAGTTTAGTGAGTCTACCAATGGCTAGAGAAATGGAAATGATCCAAGGGCCAAGTCAGTCTATCTGAAGAATCAGGAGTTTAAGGAGTACTGGCGTCAATCTCTTTAAAATGTGGCTACAATCTAGTAAATAAAGCCTGAAGAGCAGGAACTTACTGCCTCAAGCATTGGTCTAAAGCATAAGGAATTTTTTTTTTTTTCTGTTCTCCATCTCTAGACAGATCTCTACTTTCCTCTTATGGTTTAGAGAACTTTATATGAATCCAGAGGCAAAAGAAGAAAGTTTCTTTAAAAACAAAAACAAAAACAAAAACAAATACAAAGTGTTCTTGTTCTGATTTCCTCACCAGTCCTAGTAGCCTGTGATCTAATCTGACCCGGACTAGATGACTTCAGAGGTCCCTTCCAACTCTGATATCCTGTGGTTCTGTGAGGCAAAAATAAATAAATAAATGAATAAATAAATAAATAAATAAATAAAAGATTTTTAGAAGTTAAAAAAAAAACTAGAGAATGATCCATCACATTTAATTCCTAGAATATTCAAATTCACAAATCAGTTCTAAAATTGTAATTTTACAGGGAGTTATCCTGTTCAACCTTTTAAAGCCATTAAAAGATTATCTTACAATTTTCTCTTTTATTGTCTTTTTACTTCTGTGTGGTTTGAGTTCCCCAGAACTCTGGTCATATCAATAGAAGAAAAATCTTTTGTCTTTTTTTTTTTTTTTAAATCCTCCATGCACGTGAGGGGGATGGGGAAAGGCCACCCCTTTATGAACAACTTAAAACAAGGGATCATTCCTTGGAGGTCACAGATACTGGCAGGGGAATCTAGGGAAGTTGTATGTTATTTCTTTGTCACCTGGGAGCTGCTGTCGCCCAGATACCTGCTCAGAGGAAGGGCATGAGGCTGGGCACCAACTCCTGGGCAGCAGCTTGCCCTCTGGCCTCCCATCACTCAGGGGCCCCCCGAAGTCTGGCCTGAGAGCCGACGGGGGGCTAGGGGGTGCCGCGCTGCTGCTGCTGCCCCTGGCCTCTCCTCACCAGGGATGGAGACCGGGGTCCCGGCCATTCCCGAGTAGGGAGCCCTTCCCGCCTGTCCGGGAGGGAGCCCGCACTGCAAGAGGCTCCCCTCTGCCCTCCCCAAGCCCCGAGAAGCAGGGATTTCTCCACAAGCAGGCAGGGAACCACGGACGACTGGCTGCATGACCTTGGGGCAGGTTGTTCCCTCTCTCTCCCAGAACGGGTGTGTGTGCGCCTCGATAGCCAGTCTGAGAAATGGGGAGAGACGAAGTCGCCCGCCCGGGGGGCCGGAGCGAGCCCGCTCCCTGGGGGCCCGGCCCCGGGCCCGGCATGACAAGCCGCCGCGCCCGGCTCCGGCGGGCCAGGGGTGATGTCCGCAGCCCGGAGAGGCCGCGACGTGCCGGCTCGGGTCCCCCGGGGTGAGGGGGACGAGCTCCGGCCGGCTCGCTGCGCCCGGACCCCCCGCCCGCCCCGCTCCCCGCTGGGCCCGCGCGGGGGCTCGTCTCACCGGAGCAGGCGCCGCCTCGGCCATGGCCCTTGGTCTCGCTCCCAGGCCCCGGGGAGGCTGCGGCGCGGAGGGCTCCGGGGCGGCCGGCCCTTCCCCGTCCCCTCCTCCTGCGTTCCCTCCCGCCCCGCTCCGCGCACCCGCGGGGGCTCAGGCCCCGGGCCGGGCCGCGCCGCGCTCTCTGGACGCAGGGGCCGGGCCGCGCCGTCAGCGCGGAGGGCGCCGAGCCAGCGGAGCCCCGGAGCCAGGCGGCAGCCGGGCAGGGGCCGGAGGGGGAGCCGAGCGGAGCCCCCGGAGCGCCGGCCCGCAGCTGGGCCGCCCCCGCCTCCGCAGCCGCTGCGGCCCGGGCCCCACGCTCAGCCCAGCCCCGGCTCGGCGAGCTCGGTCTCCGGCTCCGGCTCGGGCTCGGGCTCGGGCTCCGCGCGACGCTCTCGCCCCAGCGCCCGTTCAGCAGGGGAGCTGCACAGCAGCTGCCATGTTGATACAAACTGCATCCTGGGAGGCATGTCCCTCTCCGGCCGCTTAAAGAGAAACGCGCCGAGGCTCCGCCGAGCTCGCACCAACCCGGACAGCTCCATCTACAGCTGGTAGGAGCGAACAGTGCAGGCAGCGCCGGGCGCGCGCCGCGCGGACACGCCCCGCGGGCGGGCGGGCGGGCGGTCAAGCAGCGAGTGAGCGGGAGAGCGGCTCCCCCGGCACGCCGCCCGCCGCCCGCCGCCCGCCGCCCGCCGCGGCAAACAGGATTCCCTGCGGGGCTCGGGGCTCGGGGCTCGCGGCTCGGGGCCGACCCGCCGCTCACCTGCTTCCCACACCTAGAATCGCTCCCCACCTGCAGTCCTCTCCACCCCAAGCGATAAGGTCTTGCTCCCGGACACCCGAGGACCACTCGGACCCCGGCACTTCTCCTTGGTACCTGGATGCTGAAAGAGCACAGAAGCTCCGAGCTGGGAAGGGACCTTGGCAGCCCGCTCCTGCGGAGGCGTCTCGTCGGTCCCCTCCATGACATCCCCAACAAGTGGTCAGCCAGCCTCCGCCCTGGATTGGGAACTCACTATGAGCTTGAGGCGGGAGTTCTTAACGTGTGTGTGTGTGTGTGTGTGTGTGTGTGTGTGTG